ATTAACTATTTTTTAATAAATATTAGTTGAATATTGCGGAAAACATTATAACTGGTAGCTATAATTGATAACGATTTAGTTGTTATAAAGACAACGAATGATTTTTGGGTGAAATGATAACACAATTTGTGACGCCTTGATAAACTATCTCAGAAAATTATCAAGATGGCTGTAATGAAACCTCATATAGGAGAAAAGCGTTTTTCATTAATCTTCATCATTTACAGCTGCCGCATATCGCTGTCTTTCTGATTAAAGTCGTTTGTTTCAAACCTTACAACTTAAACGCACAATACTGTAATAAGTAGGGAAAATCCAGACCTGAAGGGTTCATTTGCTCTAAGAGCTAGTATTACTATTATACCTAATACTGCTTGAATTCGTAGCTAATAGGCATACGCTTTATTTTTTTTCTTTTACGTTAAATTTTTTCAAATGTTTTTATAGTCATGTATGCGATTATAAAAATTAAATGAAAACTTTTGAATTTTCTATGAAACGAATATTTTTAATCTTTTCGTAATTTCAATAATGCATTAACTTTGAAGCATCTTTAATTGCTTCTATTACACTTAAAGTTATAAAACGTAATTAATTTTTATATGACAGAAAAAAATTAAAAGCTGTAACATCAAATTTATATTTACATAGGTAGAGCTTAAAATACAGATTAAATGAACATAAAATACCAATTTAAGAAAAAGGTAATAGTGTAGGTTTTGTAGCCATTGTATCTCAAATAACTATAGGTAATTTTAAATTCCTGCATAGGAACAAAAGATAATAAACAAAGAAACAATAATTAATTTCAATATAATTTTAAACCTTAGAAACAGTTGCCAAGAGGTCAAGAGGTCAAGGATTTTACTTATTTCTGTCAATCAGAGCTGATTATTATTATTTTTTTGCCTTCTTTATGGGTTATTTATTCAGTTAACTACTTATTTATTTCTTATATTTTTTCAATAAACAGTAAATAATCCAATAATTTTTGAGTAAAATGATAACAAAATCCGATTTTTTTTACCAGAGAATGTACTCTATATCTCGATACGTTTTCCCGACCAAAGTTTCTTTTTTAAAAAGTTAATTGAAAAGTCCAGGTAAAGCTAATTTAATCAATCATTAATCTTACTTTGGTTCGACAACTTGAGACTTCTTTGAATTTTTACAAGGTTTCCGCTTTAATGTAAAAACTTTGGAAGGCCAGGTCACTAGGACAGAAATAACATTTTAGCCACAAGGGGTTGTATTTTGAACAAATTAGAATTGTATGCGACAGCGGTCCCAACTTTTCGAAATTTCTGTGACTGAAGCAAGAAATTCACAAAAAAGTGTTACAAGTAATGAAATATTTAGCCGTGTTCAGGGTAGAACAAATAAAATTGAAAGTCACCGTATTTTCTAAAACAATATACATATGAAGTGAACAGTAGCTTTTTAATATGGTTAACTGAATCTACTCTACCTGATGGAAATTCATATCAAGAGATTAAAAACAAAAAGCACAAAATGTTCAAATTGTAGAAGTTCTTTAGAAGTTAAACATTAATTTATGAAAATAACAAAGTTTTTGCTTTTTTATTCTGCATGAAAATCTGCGTAATAATATTTTTTAGCAGGGAAGTCTACAAAAATTGCCTTTCTAAATTTTAATTGCTTCTTGTATAAAATGGACAATGATTATAATTTTATGTCAACTAACAAAAGTTTTATTAATCTTTCACGAAGCAAATTTCAAATGAAGAATCGTTTGAGTTATTATGGATTAGATCAGTAATTAATTGAAATTTCTTCACAAATAGGAACACAAATCTAGTGATTAAAATGCACCAGGCAACGATTTACCCATCCGTTTTCAATATACATTTAGATTTAGACTGATCATCAGTATTGCATGAAATATTTTTTCAAGGGTGCCCCCGTCACCATCGCAAATTAAGTATTAAGTAAAAATAATTTATTATCTCTCTTTACTCAGTAATCTTATCAATATTGCCTCATCTTTTACACTATACTAATTATATGTAGATAAAGACTACTGTCTTTATTTTCCTTTTGATAAAAGGGAATAATTTCAACTGCTACTTTTTGGTCACTTTTTCAAAAATTAATTTAGTTTAAAAATATGTAGAAATTTTATTGCATCATTCTTATTCATAAACGAGTAGTTTTGTATACTTTCAATTTTCTGATTACAAAAAAGGAATCATAAATTTATTATGAAAAAATAATGTATTTGTAAATATAAAAATTTGTTTTAATAAATTGGGTAAATTTGAAACTTAGTTTTATATTTTTTGTATTTCCTTTTCATGTTTAATAATAAAACAGTTTTACTTTATCCGGCAATAGTACTTTATAAAGTGACAAATTCTAAGTGTTCGTTAATATCATTTTTCATATTCCATTAAACACAAATCACTTTTTTGCAAATTTTTGGGCGACAATTTAAGCCCAAACGAAGCGATGGTAAAAGTACAGATAACTTTGAAATTGAATGAAAAATTAAAGTTTAATGCGACTTTAAATTTGTTATTTACTGTGAGCTATAAAATCATTCAATCAAAAATTCAATTGGAGTGCCTATTATGGAACTTAAATGAATACAACACTAAAAACCTAAAAAAAAAATTTAAATCGTTTACAAACCTAAAACGTGTTTGTAGGAGTGTTATTGTTTTATTTATGATTAATTTTGTAATATTTTAATTGAGTTAATTGGCCTATTGTTATATTTCCATTTCCATTTATTAGTTAATTAGCACGCCAATATCTGGAGTCAAAAATTAAATCGCTTTATAAAATGAATTTATGAAAATAATAGTGGAGGCGTTATGGTTCTCTAGCAATTATAACAACAAGCAGGCCTATTAGGTCAAAGCAATTATAATTAATTAATTAAATTATCTTTGTAAGGGGTCTAATGAGGAATTTACATATTACATATCAATGTATTTTTTCAAAATCTTAGTTTAAAAAGTTTGTGATAGTAGTGGATTTTCAATTAACTATTTTTTA